TCAAAAATTCATTTTTTATTACAAATTATTAATTGTTCTTATCAACGCTTCTCTACTTATGTAATAAAAAATTTTTTTTGTTTATCAATTTTTACTGAAGATGGCCACATCTCTTGGCCGAAATAATTTGTAATAATTTGTAATCAAAAATGAATTTTTGATCAACTTGATTCAGCTCTTGCTCTATTTGCTTTATATCAACACGATTATTAATTTAATTAAGGAAGAGCACAATAATTTAATATTAATTATAATTATAAAAATATATGTTATATACACCTGCTTACACTGATGGATCCTGACCCCCCCCCTCCTCTTCCACGTTAAAAAAATACAATTTGCTGGATCTGTTTCAAAAATCTTGGTAAAAACTGCATTAAAGCAGGTCGAACCCCCCCTCCCCTCATTATCGACATCAGGATCCGCTAGTGCCTGCTTATATGTATATATGTATATATGTAGGCATATACACCGCGCACGTATATACACATATATACATGCAGTACTTTCAAACAATTGAGGATTTAATAACAATGAAAAAAGGAATGTTAAGTAATGTTTGATAATTAATTTAGTCTGCTTTCATAAAAATGTGAGAGAAAAGTTTAAAAGTATAAAAGTATAATTACAATATTGTCAATCTCCCATTCTTCGAAGTCAAGCAAGATGTAATCCGGTTGCTCAGTGCATGCTTTTCTATCTCTCTCTATCCATAAAGTCTCACCGGTGGGATTCGTGTAAGATATCGGTAGCAGTCTAAGTCGAAACCTAAATTTTGTTATATACTCTTCGTACATAAATCTTTCGTATTTATTATAGTGACTTAATGTATTGGTATGATACACGATTAATGCTGTCGTGTTGCAATTAGACGCTCTCATCGTGTCTTCATCATATAGCACGAAAAAGTTGAATACAGTTGATGTGGTTTTATGAGTTTTCGTACTGTTTCCTGCTGCGATACCAAAATTAGTGTCAACGTTGAATTCATCGATGATATTTGTGATGATGTCATAATAATATTGCTTTTTCACATAACAATTCTGCACACCTTGCCTGCCAAACTCTATTTGAAATATATGGTCCGGTATTTTTGTTGATTCTTCATCAAAATTGATGAACTTTTTGCCATTTATATCAATAGATGTTTCCGACATGAGATTCTTAAGATCTTCGAAAGTATATTTTTGCCGCGAGAGAATTGGACGGCCGATGATCGTTTTGCATGACAGAATAGAACATCTTGGATATTTTGGGGCGATAATTTTGGACGACACCACACCGTAGCAGTTACATTTTCGGCTAAATAAATTCCTAGCTTTGGTTCTATATGTACTTTAGTGAGTCTGTTCAATTGGAATACGTATACTGGACCGAAATTCCATTTTGTCACGTCTTCGACGGACATTAGAGCCTCTAAACAAACGGAAAGTTCAATCAGTTATAATATTAAAACACTATCATCTATTTTTCGATAAAAAGTTTTATATAAAATTCTATGCTACATAAGTGGGCATACTTAAGCTTGGTATAATTTCTTTTTTGCTTAATATTATTTTTTAAATGTATTTGTAATTAATCTTTAAAATATTTCACTATAGAATAGTGTATAACGCTCCATTGGAGGCAGCAGTTAAACATGATTTCATATTCGGAAACGAATACATTGTAACATTGACAAATAAAGGTGAGTTGAAATAATTGTACTTCGTTGGCTTACCTAGCAGAAACGGGATGACGGTAAGATTCATTGACGATAACATCTTGCGTAATCGATTGCTTATCTCGTTACGATAAGTGTCTGCTTATAACACTGCTACTCTCACTAGATCCTCTAATACATGCTCCGAATTCACCGCCCGCAGAATGGATAATGAGGCATATCTCTTTTCTTCTGTTTATATTACCATGCCGATACAATATGATAAAATTCAATCGTCGATCTCTTGTCCTTGTAATGGAAATAATAATATTTCAAAGATGATACTTATGCGTTTTACCGAAAGGATATATAAGCTTTTTCTAGGCGTATTTGAAAATTTGTGCGCAATCTACGAAAATTTGATTTTATACGTACCTATATTTATATGAAGATTTTATACATAATTTTATATTGTTATAAAATTATTATAATTGTTATAAAATTATTATATTATATTATTAAAATATTAGTTTTTACGAAAAATTGTTATTATTCCGAACATTACGTACAAAAGCTAAATAAAATTCATTGTACCTCATTGATTAGAAGTTTTCGGTTCATATAAGAATAATATAAACAATTAATGATATGTATTAAAAGAAAACACTTTAGCATTATGAAATTTAAAAATTTTATTTTCGATAATAGGAATAATTTGAAGTAACTTTTATAATCGATGATATGTAATTTTGAGAATATTGTGTTTGCAATATTTCTATAGTAAATATGTATATGGCAATAATATTTTATATTTAATATTATTTCAATAATTAATATAAAAATATTAAATAAAAAGAATTTTTAAACAGAATAATGAATATATATGATCAACAAGTCATATTAACTTTGATACACAATGGCAGCTTAATTTTAATGTATATTTCTAAAGGATCAACCGTAAAATGTTATGAAAAATATCATACATCACAAACGAGAAAGAAAACGTTAGTTTGAGAAATGTTCTTAACATAATTTTTCTTATTTCAAATTTTGAACATATATATATATATAATAAATATTATATATGTATACATAGACAAATGCTGGTTTGTTTATAAGCCCTCTTAGGTTTTATAAATCTTTTATGTTTCAGTATAATTATGTATTTCCCTGTTTCTCTGATTTCATTACGATCTTATTTATATTTAGCTGGATTGAGTTCTTTTCGGGCAGGTTTGATACGGACTAGATGGAGGTACACATCTTCCCGAAAATTATATATTGTCCTTGTGGTTGTTGGGAAATAAACATCCCCCTCTAAACGAGTATAACTTGTGAATCTCCGGTTTTTATTGCGGATATTCATTATGTTAGAATACCGTTTCTGTAAAAATAATCAATAGAGAGATAATATGAAATTCAAGTTGGATAAAAATATAAAAACTAAGTTTAACAAAATATTAATTTTCTCCCAGAAATAAAAACAAAAATTATTATAAAAATATAAGTTATATACATCTGTTTATATGCATATATGTATATATGTAAACATATACAGCGCGCACGTATATACACATACATACATGCAGTACTTATAAACAATTGAGAAATTAATAACAATGAAAAAAGAAATGTTAAGTAAGGTTTGATAATTAATTTAGTCTGTTTTCATAAAAACATGAGAGAAAAATATAAAAGTATAATTACCATATTGTGAATCTTCCATTTCTCGTTAGAAAGCATGAGGTATTGCGGTTGATGAGTGCATGCCATTCTATTTCTTTCTATCAAAAAGCTTACCGGTGGGATTTGTGTAAGATATCGGTAGCAGTCTGAGTTGAAACCCAAATTTTGTTTTATTCTTTTTGACCAAATTATTTGCGTATTTATTATATTGATTTAATATATTGAGTGGAGACATAATTGATCCTGACGTGTTGCATTTAGAAGCTCTCGTCGTGTTTTCCTCATTTAGCGTAAAAGTGCTGATTACATATGGTCTCTTGAATGTATAAGTTCTCATGCTGTCTACTGCTACGATACTCAAATCAGTGCCAATGTTGAATTGATCGATGATATCTGTCATGATGTCATAATGATGTATTTTTTTTTTCCTTCCTTTCACTTTAAAATTCAGCACACCTTGTCTGTCAAATTTTATTTTAAATTTACGGTCCGGTATTCTTATTGATTCTTCATGAAAATTGATTGACTTTCCGTCATTTATACCAATAGATCTTTCGAATATGAAATTGGAAATATCTTTCCAATTATCATATATCTGCCGCGTGATATTTGTACGGCCGATGATGTTCTTCGTATGACAGAACAGAACATCTTGGATACTTTGGAGCGATAATTTTGGACGACACCGCAACATAGCAGTTATCTCTTCGTTTACGTAAATTCCTAGCTCCAGATCCATGTACACCCTAGTGAGTTTTTTCAGTTTGAATACGTATACTGGACCGAAATTCCATTCTTTCACGTCTTCGACGGACATTAGAGCCCCTAAACAAACGGACAGTTCAATCAGTTATAATATTAAAACACTATCACCTATTTATCGATAAAAAGTTGTATATAAAAATTGTCTGCTACATATGTGGGCATACTTAAGTTTGGTAAAATTTCTATTTTGCTTAATATTATTTTATAAATATATTTTTAATTAATCTTTCAAATATTTCACTATAGAGTAGTGTATAATGCATTGGAGGCAGCAGTTAAACATGATTTCATATTCGAAAACGAATACATTGTAACATTGACAAATAAAGATGAGTTAAAATAATTGTACTTCGTTGACTTACCTAGCAGAAACGGGATAACGGTAACATTCATCAACGATAACATCTTGTCGTAATCGATTGCCTATTTCGTTACGAGAAGTGTCTGCTTATAATACTGCTACTCTCACTAGATTCTCTGTTACATGCTCCGAATTCACCGCCCGCACGATGGATAATGAGGCAAATCTCTTTTGTCCTATGGTTTATATTACTTTGCCAACACAATGTGATGAAGTTCAAACGTCGCTCCCTTACCCTTGAAATTTCAATAATAATATTTCAAAGATGATACTTATGTGTCTTATCGTAAGGATATATAACCAGCTTTTTTTACATGTATTTAAAAATGTGTGCACAAATTACGAAAATTTGATTTTATATGTAAATGTGTATAAAGATTTATATAATTTATTACATATTGTTATAAAAATATTATATTATTAAAATATTAGTTTTTACGACAAATTGTTATTATTCCGAACATTACTTACAAATGCGAACTAAAATTTATTGTGCCTTATTGATTAGAAGTTTTCGGTTCATGTAAGAATAATATAAACAATTAATGATATGTATTAAAAGAAAACACCTTAGCATTATAAAATTAAAAAATTTTATTTTCAATAATAGGAATAATATGAAATAATTTTCATAATCAATGATATGTAATTTTGAGAATATTGTGTTTGCAATATTTCTATAGTAAATATGTATATGGCAATATTTGATATTTAATATTTTTTCAATAATTAATATAAAAATATTAAATAAAAAGAATTTTTAAACAGAATAATGAATATATATGATCAACAAGTTATATTAACTTTGATACGCAATGACAGTTTAATTTCAATGTCTATTTCTAAAGGATCAACCATAAAACGTCATGAAAAATATTATGCATCACAAACAAGAAAGAAAACATTAGTTTGAGAAATGTTCTTAACATAATTTTACTTATTCCAAATTTTGAACAATTATATATATATAATGACAAATTCTGGTTTGTTTACAAACCCTCTCAGATTTTAAAATTTTCTGTGTTTCAGTATAATTATGCATTTGTCAGTTTCTTCGATTTTATAACGGTCTCATTAATATTCAGCTGTATTAAGCTCTTTCCGTGCAGCTTCGATACGGACTAGGTGGAGGTACACATTTTCCCGAAAATTATATATTGTCCTTGTGGTCGTTGGGAAATAAACATCCCCCTCTAAACGAGTATAACTTGTGAACCTTCGGTTTTTGTCGCGGATATTCATTATGTTAGAATACCGTTTCTGTAAAAATATTCAATAGAGAGAACATAAAATCAAGTTGCATAAAATATAAAACTAAGTCTAACAAATATTAATTCTCCCAGAAATAAAGCAAAATTATTATAAAA